TACCGAAAAGTGACCGTGCTCGTGGGTTTGCTTAATAATTTCTCGTTGCACACTCACAGGCGCAATCATGAGTTCACAGTCGTCGACTAATTTGTGCTAAACTCCCGATTTCAAGAAGATATTGTTATGTGTCGGTTTCTCTGCCAGAATCTCTATGATTGCTTTGAGCTGATCGTCCTGAGCTTGGATGTTTCTGCTTTGCATGCTATTCTCAGTGATCATCATCATGTGTGTGACAAATGCGGGTACCAGCCCGGTGTTCGAAGACATATTCGAATTCTTGCAGCTGTAGAATCCAGCGAGCTATTCGTGTTCATAAATCCTTTTTCTCTACAGGGCATTACAGTCTGTAATAAGTTTAAATCACATATCCAGTAAGTAGACCCTGAACTTCTTTAAGGCTTTTAAAACGGCTAAGATTTCAAGCTCCTAGCGTGTGAACTTCCTTTCTGTATCGGTCGTTTTCTTGCTCATGTAATAGACAGAATGGCATTGGTTATCGTCTGGATTTTTTGTAACAAAACTGCGATGAAACCGTCTGTTGAGGCGTCCTATGCAGTTCAGTCTCGTGTCGTTGATGAAAAATTTTTTGCGTGATGAGAACTTTAAATTTGTTGAATGTCAGACAAGGGTTTGGCTTTTAGCGAGAAAATGGCTATAAACTTACGAAAATAGCTACTCGATTTTAGTTTTCAGAAAATGACATTTTTTAAAGTTAAAAGCAAGTAGGAACTAAAATTGTCTGTTGTGTGTCACGAAAGACGAGTACTTACGACTCTCTTCTTCCATGTCGACATAAAAGAATCCGTTTTTCAAATCAATCGAGCTTAAGATACGCGCGTTCAAGCTGATCATATATTATAGGGAGTGGAAAAGATCCCTAATGATGATTTTATTGATTCGCCTGTAATCGATGCATAGGCGATGAGATCCGTCACGCTTCTTAACTAGAACAACTGGGCTACTATATTGATCGGTTTGATTGTTGATAATGCATCGCTCTCCATATGAAAATCTGCGAGGTCGTGAGTGTATCGGCATGTCGTCCTTCAGAATTGAAATCATTTTAATATTTATAGACTTTGTGCTTACCGGATGTAAGTTTTGGACCATGTTGTATTCGTCCTCTTTTGCTTTTGCGTTCGCTGTTGGTTCAATTTCAGTGACTACCCTTTCGGAGTCTTCGATATCAATTTTGAAAATCGGTCTGACTTCAGCCTCGGTACAGAATGGCTTTATTATTTTTACACCTTCAATGCTGATTGTAACTTGAGCTTGTTTACAAAAAAATTTCACCAAGAACCATTTCTTTGTCCAGAAACTGCGACTCGACCACAAGAAATTTGGTTGCGAATTCTTCACCGTCAATTGTAATTTTGTGTTTAAACGAACCTGATAGTTTAATTATGTTCTTGCCTGCTTTACCGAATCATACGAGATAAATGTTATACTCACTTAGCATAGACTTGTTTAAGTTTTATACGTGGTATCTGGAACTAAATTTTACTTGTTTCTGGTATCGATTTGTGCAGTAAATTTTGTCTTTAACTGTTATGCACAAAAAATCGTGATCCGATGACACTTTACAAATGTTAGTTGCTTCCATTTTTTCGCACAAAACTTTTACTGGGTATTCTTTAGCAATGTGTTCGAATTTGTTGAACTGAAAGCATTTTCTTCCCTTACTTTTGCTCTCACAATTCGCCGATGTATGCCCTATTGCGCCACAGTTGTAGCACTGTTTACATTTAAGTTGTGCCCTGCTTGATTCTTGTAATCACATTGGGCCGCATTTTTTGAGAACATGACTAGGTTTTTACCCTCACTTCTCGATTTTCCGCGGATTGCTTCATAACACTTCATTATAGAGCATAAGATTATGTATTGAACTAAGGCACTGTTTTCAATGTGACCTCTTGAAGCTAGCTCTTTCATTTGCAAAAAGTATTCCTGTAAACTTTCACCTTTCTTAATTTTCCTCGGTTTTAAACTCGGCCAATAGGGATTTTCAAATATTCCCAAATCGACAACTCGCGCTCACTATTGGCAAACATTTTCGTAAGGACTTGAAGCGATCGCTTGGCAAAAGTGAATTTCGAACTTTTTCACCCACACTTCGATGAAGAAATTGTCATCGCTACTGAATGACCGAAATGAGTCCTCGATGTCACAAAAGTTAAACGCAAACCTCGGAACATCAGATGCACTGCTTGCATTTTCGCTTATAAATAACCTCGTTTGAAATTGCAAAAAATATGTTTCATCAGGTCGTCTCTATTGTGGGGAAGTCGTAGCAGGTTACAAATTACGGCCAGATCCAGATCAGAAATATTTTCAGGAATGTAATTGATTCTTCGGGTATCTCTGTTTGACTCGTCATGTTCATAGCCTTGGGTCTCTCGTAAGCGCTTTCTATTGTTGCTATCACCATCTCTTTCCAACACCAGAAGTAAAATATTCTGCCATTTTTCTTCTCGAAGCATCGATCTATCGCATCGCTCAATTAGTTCGCGGCCCGACATATAAGGAGCAGTAGTAAGCAAATATAGATATTTTTTATCGAAAGTGTCGATTATCATAAGCTCTGTGTAAAAATTATACAACTCTGTGACCACGTGCTTTTAAGTTACAAATTTTTAAGTAAGACAACCTTTGGGTTTTTCTACAATATGGAAAAAAAGGAGTTTCGTGTCCTGATTAAGCACTGTTTTTTGATAGGAAAAAATACAGTAAAAGCAAAAGCTTGGCTTGATAAACATTACCCAGATTCTTCTCCGGGAAAATCAACCATTAAAGATTGGTACAATGAATTTAAACGTGGTCGTGTGGACACCAAAGACGCTGAACGCAGTGGTCGCCCAAAAACAGCAGTTACGCCAGAAAATGTGGCAAAAATCCGAAAAATGGTGTTGGCCGATCGCAAATTGAAATTAAAGGAGATAGCTGATGCCTCAAAGATATCGGAAGGCAGTGTGTTTACGATATTACATGAACATTTGGACATGAGAAAGCTCTGCTCGAAGTGGGTGCCGCGATTGCTAACACCGGACCAAAAGCAACAACGCATCGATGCTTCCGAGACGTGTTTAAGCATGTTGAAGCGCAATAGGACCGATTTTTTTCGCCGTTACGTAACCATGGATGAAACCTGGATACACCACTATACTCCAGAATCCAGTCGTCAGTCTTCTGAGTGGGTGGTAGCCGGTGAAAGCCGTCCGAAGCGTCCCAAAACACAAATATCGGCGGGTAAGGTTATGGCTTCTGTATTTTTGGATGCACATGGGATTTTATTTATAGACTACCTGGAAAAAGGTAAAACAATAAACAGCGAATATTATATAAAACTACTGGATCGATTGGATCGCGTTATCAAGGAAAAACGTCCACATATGGCCAAGAAGAAACCACTGTTTCACCAGGATAATGCACCATGCCACAAGTCTATGGCAACAATGGTGAAATTGAGTGAATTGAGGTTCGAACTTCTGCCGCACCCACCTTATTCTCCAGATATGGCCCCCAGTGACTACTGGCTTTTTTCAGATCTCAAAAAGCACCTCCAAGGCAAGAGATATCGATCAAATGAGGAGGTGATTGTCGATACTGAGACCTATTTTGAGGGTAAAAGTTCATATTTCTACAAAAATGGCATAGAAAGGTTGGAGAAGCGCTGGACTGAGTGTATAGCCGTAGATGGAAACTATATTGATGAATAAAACAAAATTTAAAAAAAAAAAATTTTTTTTCATTTTTAGGCCGGGAACTTATTGAGCGGTGTGATAATACATTCAAAGTCATTTAATGGACCCGAATTTATATATGTATTGCCATACGCGTGCTTGTATGCTTCGGTTTTTATCCGGATAATGAAATTTGAAAACTCTTGTGAAATTAACTTTTGGCTTTTGTTTTCGATTTTTATTAAGATTTATTTTTTCTTTCACTTTCTCCGTGGATCACTTTTTATTGTGGGACTGGGCTGTGATTACGTTTTAAAGATTTACACAATACCACTTGATGTATTTTGTTATATTAAAGGTATAGTTTTTAAATGAATTATTTAGATTTTTAGTGGATTACAAATGAATAATATACGTCGTTATTGGAGAGCGTCGTTTCTCCTACGTCTTTTCCTTACTCGTCGGGAAATCGTACTCCTCTTTCATCTCGTCGGTTTTGGCAGGCTTGCCACGTCGTTCGTCTGTATCTTCTGGATGGGAACCAGCTGATCCGCGTGGTCAAACCATTCCCACACTACTTCAATGTGCAGAAATGCAGCATCCACAACGAGGCTCGTTATTCTTCGAAAAATAATCAGTTGACGAATTAACCGTCAACGGTGACTGCTACGGCTGCATATTGGAAGACATTTTCCTTTCCATAATGAAAATTAAGACATCTACTCATTATTGTTCAAGGACGGCGCACAATGCCAACGTTACAGTCAATTTGACCTTGTTGGACTATTTTATGTGGAATACCATTAAGGATAAGAGTGCTATGCCATCGATTGCAGACCTAATTTTACAACGCAAATTTTTTGTGAGCCATTCTGTAATTTCAGTTAAAAGTCATGTTAGTCTGCTTGTCAGATTTTTTGCAAAATTGTCTCCCTGTTTTAAAGCTTTCGGAATAAAACTTGCCCAAAAGTCGTGTTTCTAGATAGTCGTATAGCTCCTATAGGAACAATCGGAAAATTAAATGTCTCCTTCCGCGATATAAGCTTTTGAAGTAAATTATAACGCTTTCTGCCAAATACTATGTAGCGATTTTTTACGTCTTCCGATACCAAAACCTTTTTCTTACAATTATAACAAATTTAACTAAAAATGTTCGATTTAATTTTGAACTAAAAGAAAATAACTAATTTTAAAATGTTTTAATTTAATTTAAAAAAAAAATTATTAATTCAAAGTTAAATATTTATATTTATAAACATAAGCAAAATATAAAATGAGTCAGAAATAATAAACTAAGCCTTAAATCCACCATTACAGCTCTAAAGTCAGTGGAAGGAGAGAAGCTCGTTTTGACAAATGTACATCGTTCCGATATGGGTGGCTACAATTGCATTGCTTCTAATGGAATACCGCCTTCAGTAAGCAAGCGTTTTGATGTTCACGTAAATTGTAAGTATAACATGATTAACTCATGTAGGGTATTCGTTTCGTTTGAGTGTAATTTGCGATTTTTAAATGTTATATGTTATATATATATATATATATATAACATATATATCGAAGAAGAGTCTCGGTTGTCGCTCGACCGTGGTGTTGTGGGAATATCGTTCTCATCCATTCTTGTAAGCCAAACGTGTGGAGCGAGTCCCAGTGCGCCAACTTGAAATGTCAACTGCGCCACGTGCGACTGACTATTTCACCTCCGAACGTACGGTCCTTTTTACTCTACCAGACACTGGGCCACACTGACGGCAACTCATATTGTCGTCCCACTCTCTTGACGTTAAGCAACTTTAAAAGGATGTCTCCTTCACCACACTGACGGCAACACATATTGTCGTCCCCTTCTCATAGTGCTGTGTAACTTCCCACTAGCTTCTTTGCCTTTAAAATTGAGCGCGCAATTCAAATAACCAAACATTCACCGAAATATGTTTTTTAAGATTTTTAATAATATTAAGAGAATATAATTTCTAGTTAATCTTCTTGCCACAGAAAGTAAAGACGACCCTTAAAATCGTAGTTATACTGGTGGTCTTAGTAAGATAGGGATCATCAAATTTATTCACAATCATATTCATTCAAAGTATACAAGAGATATTGTATTTAAGAGCTCCTACTAAGCAAAAATTCTCATATTTTGGATTGACTCGGGTAAAAGCCATAACTAAATAACCAAACTAAAACTAAGTGATATACAGAGTCAAAGGGTTTACTAAAGTCTGTAGAAATGTCTTCAGTTTGAAAATTACTTGTTAATCCATTTCTTACACATGAAACGAGCTCCAAAAAGTTAATGGTTGATCTGCGTCTTTGAAATCCGTCTAGTCATGGAGAAATATTTAAGTTAAAATGGTGCTGAAAACGTGGCATTCCCCATTGTACATATATTTGTAGGGAGTTCCCAATTAGATATTATATTTTGCTGCTGTAGTAGTAAGTTTCGATCCCTCCAGGTTGCCTTCTTTCCTAAGTTCATAATGTTCTTAAGCTGAATAATGTAAGACAAAGTTTCATTCTTTCTTTTCTCGTTAAAATTATTTATTTTCTCACTTCCACACATTCTTCCTGTTTTTTGAGCATTTTATAGTAGCATAGCTGTCAAAATTTTTAACGGACTATACTTGGTATTTCGAAGACGATTTGCTGGGTTATCTTGTAAAATGTTGCTTTAAACATCGGATTGACAGTATGTGGATTAATGTGGAGATGTGAAGCAGTTTAATTCCTTCGCTTCTGCCGTCTTATTATTAAACAGCCCAGAGGTTAAATGAGGGGGTTGCCAAAGACTAGTGCTTTCTACTTAAGCCTTTTCAAAACTTCACCCTATCCCGTCGATTAATTTAAGGTCAAGTAAAAAGTAATCCATTATTTGAACAATAGATGACTTTGGTGATCTGAATATCGCGTTCCATTTTACGTTAGGTGGCGTTAGAAAGTTGAGCTTTCAGAAGCTCAGAAGCGAAATTACGTGTTCGGCTTGCAAGAAAAACCATCATTCCATGATTCACATAAATTATAATAAAATAATAAAAAGAATTAATAAAAAGAAAATGTTAATACCGCAGGATGTCGGAACAAGCGTTGCTTGCTACAGCATTCGTTAAAATTTAGTCCTCGAATTGGGGCTTAAAAACATTAACAGCTTTGATTGATAATTGATTTTGAACTTATCAAAAATTCTATCTCAAGCGGAGATCAGTGGGCTGTCTTCGACAAGAAACTGCTTCTCAAGCACAAACAAAGCTTTCAATAACAAGTAAAAATTCCCAGAAAGATTTAATTAAAGCACTAGTACTTCCAAAGGTAATGGGGAATCTTCCAGTCAGCACCGTTAATGTTGACAAATTAAGGTGAAAGAATTATAATTTGGCTGACCCCGACTTAAATAAGCCGTGGAGTAAAGATCTGATTATTGGGACAGATTTATATCCTCACATTCTGCAATGTGAAATCGTTAAAATAGATGGCCTCCTCGGTAAAAATATCCATTTCGGGTGGATTGTTTCGGGAGGTAAAATTCAGCAACTGTAGCAATCAGGAGGTAGATGAATATTACTCAGCTTATTTTATAATTATACCCTTGCAGAGGGTATTATAATTTCAGTCAGAAGTTTGAAACGCAGTGAAGGAGACATCTCCGACCATATAAAGTATTTATATTCTTGTTCAGCATCACTAGGAGAGTCTGTCAGTCCGTCCGTCAATCCGTCCGTTTCTACGCAAACTGCTCTCAGTTTTAAAGCTATCTGCATGAAACTTTCCCACAAGTTGTCTTTCTATTGCAGGTAGTATATAAGTCGGAACGAGCCGGATCGAACGACTTTAGCATATAGCTCCCATAGGAACAATATCAAAAATAAATTTAAAAACAATTATAACTTGGCTGTTTTTTAATTTTTTTTATAGCTTCGACATACAGTAACGGTTAAATATTTTAGAATTACGGTTTGAATTTCATCAAAATCGGAAGACTACATCAAATAGCTCCCATAGGAACAATCGGAAAAATAAATCAAAAAAATTATAGCTTTGCTGTTTTTTAATTTTTTTTTTGGTTCTTCGACGTATAGTAATGGTTTAATATTTCAGAATAACGGTTTAAATTTCATAAAAATCGGATGACTATATCATTTAGCTCCCATGGAAACAATAAAAATAATTTTTTTTTTAAATGTATCTTTTCTATTTTGTAATTTTTTTTAAAATTCTTTTTGACTTATTAATAACTTGACAGTTCAGAATTACACTTTTAATTTTATTAAAATCGGAAAACGATATCATATAATTGCCATAGGAACTATCGAATAATTAAGCTGCAAATCATCATATCTTTAATGTTTTTAAGCATATACGCAATTAATTGATAATCTTAATGTTTTCAAGAACATTCAATTTTTGCAATAGCTGCAAGGGTATATAAACTCGGCTTGCCGAAGTTTGCTGCCTTTCTAGTTTTTAAATCAATTATGATGCCGTTTGCAGTCCAGAAGGCATCATTTGCTTCAGAGCCACGTTTTTAGTCTGCAACATTTTATTTATGACGTGTGCGCTTTTCAAGGCGATTAAAGCAAAACCTTCCGCAAAAAAAATTTTTTATTTTTTCTTATTTTTAATTATGTTTTATATCTTTTTTTTGAATATATAAGAGCCGAGTTATACTGTGGCTAGACGCAGTTTTTTTACGTAGGTTTTGTACAGGCAGATAGGGATCATCAGTCTACAAAATTTTGATTTTTACCGATGCTTACTAGATAATTACTCGATATTTGGCATTTCGATATACTAGAACAACAACATATATAGCCGGTACAAAAAGAAGGGATGATTTTCCCTGACAAATCAAACAAAGAACAGCTGCTCAGACGCAATGACATTCAAGTGTAACAGCCTATTCTGCTTAATTGCGGCTATTCCGATATCGATAAGGGACGTGCGTGAGTATAACTAGGCTATAAGTTGACAAGAAATATGAATTACTGAAGCGTAGAATTTTAATTTTCAATAAGGTTTAGGAATAAATTTTATTTATAAATATAAAAGAATCCAATCAGTGATATTATTGCTTAAATAGCACTTGAGACTGCTACTCAAGGAGCTTGAGGGCAGCGAAGACAGACGAATTTAATTAAATTTTTTTATAATTAATAATGTTGGTATTAAGAAAAAGTTTTAAGTCTATGCCTGTTTAAATAAGTTTGTATCTTCCATTCAAAGGGTCCCTCACTAACATTTAGTCTCACCCAATAATTTAATTTTTTTACTTTTAATATATGTTTAATTAAATATGGTCTTTTTGAGGGAATATTAAACAAATTTAAATTTTATATTGTTTTTTATTTTACATTAAGTACTCTATAATTTAAGGTTTAAGCATTGTCGAAGAATTTCTTACTCGAGTTACATCTTGGGCATAGAAAATTAGAAGTTCTTGTTGACGTAGCAGATAATTTTTTTTGGCTATGACGTTTTCTCTATTTCTTGAATCTTCACCCTTAGGGGACTAACAACAAGAAATATTCGTTCTGTTGCTGCTACTTTAAGAGCATTACGGCCATTTTACGGTCCACTTAACAAGCCATCCTGTTCGACAATCGACCGTCTAGTGGCAAAATTTGAGTCTTCGTTTTTGCTACATAATGTTCCGGTGTCATTTCTTCTTAGTCGACTTTATGTTCTGGTTTCGCAGAGAATGCGTGCTAGCTAGCCTGAGTGCTAATTTGTATATCTATTTGGCTTGTAGTTGGGCAATTTCTTCCTTTACTAAAGGGATGTTTGAGTCTGTGTGGATGTCTGTGTTGCGGATGTACCAAGGCGCTGCGGTTATTGTTCTTAGCACTTTTGACTGTGCTCTTTAAATCAGCTCTATATTGCTGTTACTGGCATTGCCCCATAGCTCCCATACATATTTCTAGACAGGATGTCATTAGTCTCTGGTTCGTAGGTATATCAGCCGTATTTAGGAGGTCTTTACCTTGGGCCCGAGAACGCTTTCTTGTGGTACGCCTGCCGCGAAGTCAACCTCTTGAGTTAAGCAACTTTTGTACTTTACCATTAAGACTCGATTTAAAAGGTACGATTTAAGCACCTTGTAAATGTTTTGTGGAAGTTGGAGCTTAATCTTATAAAGGGGTTTTCAATAGATGCGCTTCAACTTTTTTCCGATAGGGACAGCGAACGACGCCACGTTTTTCCTTGTTCTCTTGAAATATGAAACTTCAATAGTATACATTTCATCATGGAAATTGTGCAAATTTTTTATCGAAATATTCGTTCTGTTGCTGCTACTTTAAGAGCATTACGGCCATTTTACGGTCCACTTAACAAGCCATCCTGTTCGACAATCGACCGTCTAGTGGCAAAATTTGAGTCTTCGTTTTTGCTACATAATGTTCCGGTGCCCGTGAGAGCAAGAAGTGCTCGAAGTGATGCTCAACAGGACGGGGCCA